CTCTTGGCTTTGTACTGCCTCTTGAAAAGTTGTAGGATCCCCGCTACTAGTAATAAGCGCATAAGAAATCAAATCTTCAAAACCATACCTAGTAAGCGGCTTTATATTGCGTTTGGGCCTGTCTGTGGCTATACTATGATGCTGCTGATCACCTGAGATAGAACGCTCTACATGCTGAGCATCCTCTTCTCTACCATGATTTTCTAGCTCCACCTATACCACATGTTCATTAGTGCTACAATTTTCTGGTAGTTGTTTCTCTTATTCCTAAGTACGCTGTAACATGACTTTTTCATCAAAAATCACATCTCTACTGATCACCATCTTGTTTGCCTTCGGATCCCAGAGCTTGAAGCCTTTCACTCATTTCTGATATCCCAGAAAGATACACTGTCTAGACTTCGCATCAAGCTTCAACCTCTCCTCACTAGAAACATGTACATAGGCTGGATATCCAAACACTCTCAAACTAGAGTAGTCTACCTCACTGCCTGTCCACACCTCCTCTGATACTTTCCCATCTAGTGCTACCCTCGGTGATCTGTTAATCAAGAAACATGTCATATTCACTGCCTCTACCCTGAAATTCTTTGCAAGCCCTATATTCAACTTGAGACATCGAGCTTTCTCGGCTATCGTTCTATTCATCCTTTCCGCTACACCATTTTGTTGTGGTGTCTTACGTACTGTGAAGTGTCTCTTGATTCCATGCTGCTCACACAACTCCTGGAACTTTGAATCTGTGTACTCAGTACCATTATCTGACCTGAGGCATTTAATCTTCCTCCCTGTCTGGTTCTCTACTTCAGCTTTCCACAGCTTGAACTTGGCAAACGCTTCAGACTTGTGTCGCATGAAGTACACCCAGACCTTTCGTGAGTAATCATCAATGAAACTCACGAAATACATGTATCCTCCCCGTGATACTACGCTAACTGGTCCCCAAACATCTGTATGGACATAGTCGAGAACCCCCTCTGTCTTGTGTGTGGCTGTCTTGAACTGCACCCTATTCTGTTTTTCAAGAACACAATATTTGCAAAAATTGAGTTTGCATGTCTTGACACCCTTCAATAGATTTTTTTTATGAAGTTCTATCATCCCACGCTCACTCATATGACACAGCTGCATATGCCACAAGACTGTATTATCTGATTCAGACTCTACAACAGCAACTCCATTTACAATTGTAGTACCCAGCAGTCTGTAAATGTTTTATGTTACTTTCTGTCCCTTCATCACTGTCAGCATGCCTTTACTCACTTTCATTACTCCATTTATAGATTTGTAACTATAACCATTACAATCCAAAGTGCCCAATGAAATCAAATTCTTCCTTAGATCCGGTACATGTCTAACATCATACAACGTTCTAACCATACTATCAAACATCTTAATTCTAATATTTCCTATTCCAACAACTTTGCAAGATGCATCATTACCCATCAGAACAGAACCAGAATTTACTAACCTGTAGGTGTCAAACCAATCTTTGTTGGGTGTCATGTGATAGGAACATACTGAATCCATAATCCAAAAATCTGTTAAACGATCTGAACTGGATAAAACAGAAAGCATATCACCGTCACCACTCTCTGAATCTTCTTTTTCCACTACGTTTGTAGGCTTTGATGCACTCTCTTTGTCCTCTGAATCCCCCTTTCTTTTTCTCTGGACAGTCCCGTTTAAAGTGCCCCTTTTTCCCGCACTTGTAACACGAGATGGAGACATCCTTCTTCTTCTTCCTCGACTTGGACCGGGCTTTATTGTTACCCGATTCATTCCGAGATTTACTTCTTCCACGTTCCTGGTTACCTTTCACCACAAGCCCTTCACCTTGTGAAGCCTCATCACTGGCTTTCTTCCGCTGATGAAAACCTAATAGAGCACCTGTGACATCCTCCAACTCGAGGGTTTCTTTCCCCCACATCAGAATCGTAACCAAATTTTCGTACGTAGGGACGCCGATAGGGAATTCAGCAACATCAACGCCTTGTCTTCATCTTTGAACTTCACATCAACTCGCTGATGATCTGATTGAACACGTTGATGTGTTAGGTCAAATCTGAGCCCTCTGACATCTTAAGACCATATAGTTTCTGCTTAAGATAGAGCTTGTTCATCAACGACTTGGACATATACCGACTTTTCAGTTTCAACCAAACTTCTGCCGGTGATTCCTCATCCATGACGTGATACATCACTTCATTAACCAAACAAAGCCTAATAGTTACCACAGTCTTCGCTTCCAATTCTTTCCAATCCGTGTCGTCCATTCCTGCCGGTTGTTTTCCGTATAACGCCTTCACCATGCCCTGCTGCACTAACAAGTCCTTCACCCTCCTCTGCCATAATCCAAAATTTCCAGTTTCGTCGAACTTCATGATGTCGAATTTTGTAGAAGAAATCTCAGACATCGTAGTCTAGCTCTGATATCAGTTGTTGTGATCGTGCAGTAATTATGGTGAATAATAAAGAATCAAACAATTAAGAAAATAACACATAGAGACTTACGTGGTTCGACAATGTGCCTACATCCACGAGAGCGAGCGGCTGTTCTTTTTCATTATTAAAAGTAGGGTTACATCTTAAGTATTTATATAACCTCAATACGGACGTATTTATAAAAATATCCCTGTACCTTACTGCGGGGGCGTTGCCCCCACACCCCCAACTAATCAGCGTCCTCTTTATACAAATTCCGTAAGGCAAATATCATCGCGGGCTCCGCTCTGACATCTATCTCCTTGTCATTATGCACATAACAAATATGAACCACATATACTCTAACAAGTATGAAGTGAGAGAACCTGGGAGACATGAAATTCTAAAGAGTCAGAGACACTTCAAAAAAGAAATAACATAATGGTGAGAGATGAAGAGGTAGAGAAAAGTGGAAAGCTTTTGAAAAGTCATAAACGGTAAATGAAGAAGCATTTACCGATTTATGTTCTGATAAAAAATAAAAGAACCGATTTACCTAATGTGATTAATGCATATAGTGATCATGAATTAATGACTGATGTATGTTTTGGGGCAGAGTGCCAACCACTACACAGTAGCCTTATATAACATTAAAGGAAAGTTTGATTTGGAGGATAGAATGCTTTAAAAAATGAGTTGTCCGTGCAGATAGAATTGACTTCCAGAAATTAAAAAAAAATTACTTACTTTTATAAGTAGGAGCATTGCAAATGACTTTAAAAAAGTGTTTGTATAACTTGGAATAACTTATTTTAGTTATTTCCTAATAAGTTATAACAATTTTTTTCCCTTACTAAGTAAAAGTAAAAAAAATTATTTTTACTTTCTTAAAATTACTTTTCCTCAAAACACTTTTCATTTTTATATTTATTATTACAACTATCACTATCATCCCACCAACACCGTCGCCCACCACCACTGTCCAATATCGTCGCCCGCCACCACCATCCATCACTTCCACCCACTAACCACCACAGACCAATTTTTAATATACGTTTAAGAGATATATTGAAAATTGAGACATATATAAGTGTTTTTAAATTGATTTTCAAATGCACTTTTTCATAAAATACTTTTTATTTGAGTTCTTTCTTGATGGAACATCCAAATGGTATTTATTTAATGAAAGTATTTTTTTTTATAAAATACTTATTTAAGAAATACTTTTAAAATTTTCTAAGTCATGCCAAATGCAACCCTAGATTATAGTGCATCGTTATTTATTATGATTATTTTGTGTTCGAATAGGTGGAGTATGTGTAACAACCACCTTATTATATAAGTACATTAGTCAAGTTACAGCTGCATTGGGAGGTCCTTTTAGATTAATTTCCATGAAAGATTCTGCAAATCCACCTTGAAATATACGATTATGACAAATAGCTTAACACACTTTTCATACGAAATGAAGTACATGAATAGACTGCCGACAGCAAGATGAGGCCTTTAAACATGCATGGCTCTATTTTTGTCTTTTTATGCACGTCTCTTTCTTAAATTTGCCGTACTCCAATGAAATTATATCATAATTGATCAACAAATAATAATGTTGCGCATTGTAGTATGCTTAAATGGGGGACAATCATTTAATGTTGAGTCTTAATCAATTGGATCAATAGGACCCTCACAGTCTTAGATTTTGTCAGATTTGATAGTGATGGTATTTTTCAGCATGATATGAACCCATGATTAACGGGTAAAACTTTACAAATTTTAGACACGAATTAAAAAATTACACTATTTAATAATAGAAAATGAATATAGTCTCAAATGTGAACAATTCGACTTTGAGATTGTGTTAACATATATTGGACAAAGAGAACATTTTATTTTATTTTACCTTTCCAATTTCTTAATCAGATATTGTATTAATTCTTCAAGACTTGGTTTTGCTAATAGTGGGATCGAGTGGAATTTCGGTTGATGAAGGTCTATAGGTAATAGATTTTGTTGAGAGAGAATGGGTGGTAATCCTAAGTTTCTAATTTTCAAGGTATGCGTGTTAATTTGAACAAGACGTGTTTAATAAAATATTAGATTAGCATCAAATTATCTGACACAAGATTTAGTAGATAAATTAAGTTATGATCGACTAATACTCAAAAAAAATAAAATCAAAGCAACCTAATCCGAACACGACATATCACAATTTGATTTGCAACCTCTAATTCGATTGTGCATAGTTGGATTTTTGGGATCGGTTGTCAATGTGATCCATGAAAATCTATAAATATAGAAAAATAAAAGGATAAAAAAGGGCGTATCCCTTGCACGACATTCACGCCATTAGGTTAATGCTCCTAATCAAATTAACCTTACCTTGGCTTCTGTTCTTTTTTTATTGTATTTTTTTGGATCCGACTTTTATTGTCTTTCGTGTTGAAAGATAGGACATTATTTAGTACATTATTCAAATTGAGGCCGGACTATAAAAAGGCTTCACCCTTTGCCATATCCCCCAAGAGAGTTTGCATTGAAGTGAGAAAGAGAGAGAGAGAGAGAGAGAGAGAGAGATTCAATGGCAACAGTTGGTAAGCCGCATGCAGTTTGTATACCATATCCAGCTCAAAGCCATATAAAAGCAATGCTGAAACTAGCAAAGCTACTCCATCATAAAGGTTGTCATGTGACTTTTGTCAACACAGAGTTCAACCACAAACGATTCCTCAAATCTGGAGGACCTAATTTTCTAAATGGCTTACCGGATTTCAGATTTGAAAGCATCCCCGACGGCCTTCCTCCATCAGACATTGACGTTGCCCAAGATATCCCTTCTCTTTGTCTGTCAGTGAGGAAATATTGTTTGGCTCCATTTGTTGATCTCCTCTCAAAACTTAGTGATAGCACATCTCTGAACATCCCTCGAGTGACCAGCATCGTCTCCGATGGTTTTATGACATTCACCATAGACGCCGCTGAAGAACTCGGAGTCCCCATAATACAGTTCTGGACACTCTCTGCATGTGGTTTCATGGGGTTTTATCAACTTCACAATCTCTTGGAAAAAGGTTTTACACCTCTTAAAGGTAAATGAGTCTCATCTTCAAATAATTTGTTGGAAAAAGAAGTTTAGGCTACTAATTAAGGTAACCATTGTTGTGTGTATGCAGATGCAAGCTATCTGACTAATGGGTACTTGGACACCGTTATAGATTGGATTCCAGGTATGAAAGGTATACGTCTGAAGGATATTCCTTCCTTTGTACGAACAACTGATCAGAATGAACCAACATTTAACTTCGTCATGGAAGCTGCACAAAGGTGTTCTAAAGCTTCAGCTATTATTGTTCAAACTTTTGATGCATTAGAGCCAGAACTTGTAGATGCTCTCTCTTTTATGTTTTCCCATGTTTATACCATTGCCCCTCTGCAATTATTTCTGAATCAAATAGCCAAAGAAGATGGTCTGAATTCCATTGGATACAGTCTATGGAAAGAAGATTCAAAGTGTTTGCAATGGCTCAACTCCAAGGAAACCAACTCTGTGGTTTATGTGAATTTCGGTAGCATTACAGTCATGCCCCTGCAATTATTAGTGGAGTTTGCCTGGGGACTTGCTAATAGTAACCACTACTTCCTGTGGATAATTAGGCCAGGTTTGGTCATGGGTGATTCAGCAATCCTGCCGCCTGAATTCATGGCTGTAACGACAGAAAGAGGTTTTATAACAAGCTGGTGCCCACAAGAGCAAGTCCTTAACCACCCATCAGTTGGGGGGTTCTTAACCCATGGTGGATGGAATTCAACTATTGAGGGCTTGTCCAACGGAGTGCCCATGATTTGCTGGCCATTTTTTGCTGATCAACAGACAAATTGTAGGTACATGTGCACTAAATGGAACATTGGCATGGAGATTGATAATGATGTCAAGAGAGATGAAGTGGAGAAGCTTGTAAGACAGTTAATGGAGGGAGAGCATGGCAAGAGAATGAAAAACGAGGCTTTAGAGTGGAAGAGGCTGGCAGAAAAGGCTACAAGTTTAGATGGGTCATCCTCTCTAAATTTAGACGATATGATCAGCAAATTTGTACTACCAAGAAACTAGTTTTTTTCAATTTGAATGTGGATGATATATCAGTCATCTTCTTGTGCCCACTCCGAATTTGAAATAAACTTGTTGCAAAAGCAGCATTAATTATTATTAGGAATAATTGCAATGGCAACCACATTAAGTTTCTGATTGCTGCCAAGAAATCGGGTTCAAACTCCACTCTTTCAAAACATTCTGGAATAGTTTCATCAAAAATGCTTTCATGTCACTGTTTCAAACTCCACTGTTTAAGTGTTTAATTTGATTTAAAATGCTAACTTGATTAAATGGCTTACGCACTATTTTTGATTGAGGATAGACTTCACATTTCGAAATATTGCTATTATCACACTTTTGAATCAACCTTAGATTACTCATGCGCTGAATAGATTGATAATTCACATGTCCTAATCTATTATACCACAAATATAAAGAGTCAAGCATCTATAATATAAAATAGGGCTGTGTTCAATAAGTCTATTCAACGGTCTTAAATAAACTCATCCAACGATCATCAACATCCTCTCAAAATCATTCACATTGAATTTTCTTCCTGCAAAATTCATTACTTCTCACTTACGTTGCACCGTACCTTCAGACACAAATTACCCTCAATAGACTTTAAGGGAGGGATAACAATAGTAAAAAAAATTCCTCTCCAAATTATTATTTTTTATATCAACTCGGATATAAGTCAGAGTGAAATATAACGCATTCAAAACATTTATTTTTGAACCCCCAACATTTACAACAATTTTGTAGAGCCATCCTTATCTTGTTTTTTGCTTAGAGGCATTGTATTATGAATTGTGCCAAAAAAGTAGGGACTTCTCAGGCGTACAATTTGCCAACTTGGTAGACATGAATATGACATCCTTGAAACTGATTTTACCTCTAATTTAAAGGCTGTGAATAAGTTTTTGATACATCCCCCAGCCAATTTTGTTTGCTATTTAATGTAGGACAGTAGTTCTGACAACAATAGCCCAATAATTCTATGGACTAGCAAGTGTGTTTTTTTCCCGGTTTCCCTAGATAAAATGTTTCTCTGAGGAGGAGTTTTTAGATATTGATATCTAGCGGCCATAATTATCACAAAATAAATAAGCAATTAGAGAAGACCCAAAAAAAGAAAAAGAAAAAGAAAATAGGAAGAAAGTATGTTATTATATACAAATATGGACCGAACATAGTTTTCAAAATTTGTCATAGAATGAAAGGCGCCTCACACGATTGAGCCTCGATTTATGCAATGGATGTAATTTGTGGGAGTTTGTGTTTTTCTTATAAGTTGAAGAGATACGTAATTTGACCCACGCTCCGTTGTCTAAAAAAGAAAAACATGACTATTAAAAATATTTAAGAGATTTAAAACTGTTTTATATAGCTCACCACTTATTCATTTGACTAAAACAAATACTTCTATTATGCCAACGCTTTTTTTTTTTTTTTTGAGAACAAGATTGCGGATATGATCTACAAATCTTATTCATATGTAGATAGCAAAGTGGTTATTTCAAGAGTGAATTATATTTTGCACCCTAAAAAATTTAAGAATTCTCATTTTGTACCCTCAAATATAAAATTTTTCACACTACACTCTTAATATATTAAAAGTGTTACAATATAATCATTCTGTTATCTTCATTTATTTTTTCTGTCAAAAAATCACTCAATTGACACTAACAAAAAAAAATAACAGAATCTAACTGAAGGGTCACATTGCAACACTTTTTATACATTAAGAGTATAATAAGAAAAATTTTATCTTTGAAGGTACAAAATAAAAATTCTTAAATATTTCACGCCCTTGGAATATTGCATGACTTCTCACAGGCCGGCCCAATAAAAAGGCCCCTTGAACAACTGCTTAGGGCCCAGCAAACAAAAAAAAAGGTAGGCCTCCAAATAATAAGTATAGTCTTTAACTGTAATTTAAATTGGACCAATAATTTTGGTTTAAAGGGCCCAATTTAATGGAAATTCTTACAAGGATTTTTTGGGTGTGGGTATAATTTTTTAGACTTATTTGAGTAAAAGTGTATGAATAAGTTTTTTATTCTATTAAGTACAATTTTTATAAGTGAAAATTAAAAGTGAGTCCCTCTAGATGTACTTGTTTGGAGATAAGTCCTACAAAGAAACTTATAAGGGGCTAAGTACATGTTTAAAATTATATGTAATAACTTAAGTCCACTTTTTTTTATCTCAAAAATACCTTTCCTTGAAAAAAAGTTAATTTTTTCTCTCTCATATCTATCTATATTCATATATATGTTAAGAGTTTGACTAACATTAAAATTTTATCTCTCTCTTATCTATCTATATTCATATATATATAGAGTAACATTAAAAAAAAATAGTAACATTCAAATACAAAAAAAAAGTTACTATGAATTTGAATAGTGAAATTCAAATTCATATTACTATTTTTTTTATTATGTTGTTGTTCATGTTATTGCTTTTGTTGAATATGTTACTGTTCATGTTACTATTATTTTTTAGCATGTTACTGTTTTTGTGGAGCATTTTATTACTATTATTTTCCTAAATATTAATATTCAATGTTACTATTTTTTTTTTAATATTACTATTTTTTGTATTTGAATTATATTATTTTTTGCATTTGAATTTGAGAGACATAATTATTGTTAAGTATGTTACAATTTTTGTTAAGCATGCTAATATTTTTGTTCAATATGTTACTGTTGTTATTTTTTAAAAATATTCATATTGAATGTTTCAATTTTTTTTATGTTTAAATGTATTATTTTTTATGTCCAAATGATAACATTTTTTTGTATTTAAATGTTACTATTTTTTTGTATGTATGTATGTATATATATATATATATATATATATAAAAAAAGTGAAACAAACTGACTCTGTTAAATTCCAGAGATTCGTTAATTATAATTCCAATAATAGAGATCCTTAATATAGTAAAGCCCTCATATTAAGGGTGATTTCTGCTAAAGACTGGGGACTTAATCTCACTATCCCTAAAATACTAAGAAAAACTTCATATACGGAGTACAACTATTTTGATTATATTGATGCTTGGAATAATCTTTCTCAATATGAAGCTATAAATTTAAAGCATATATGGTTCTTCCAATTCACTGAAACCTATACAAAAATTCTGAATTGATTTTATGATTGGTGGGAAACTCATGGTGCTATTAACAGTATATATCCTGAAAAAATTATTTGACTTGTATAAAGACAAAAGTCTGTCCTTAAAGGGTAATGATATAGCAGCTAAGTCCATTATTAATTTCTCGCTCGAATTCTTTATTCCATGGATTTGAGTGTGGACTTTGGCTTGTGATTATAATCATAACGGACATCTCAAACTAATCAGGGAATACCAAGTTTGTTACTGGAATAATTACCCCACTGACTCTAAACGTTAGATTATTGAAGAATGTCTTAAAGACATAGATAAACAAAACTCGACAAAATGATATATAAGAACAACAATCAGATACAGAAGGAAGAAAATTTCAAGAGGCGGCCTTAGAGATCTTACTACTTAAGGACATAAATAAAGAGGAAGATAAAGCTTCAACTTCTACATCTATTGTTCCCTTTACCAATGTAAATACTGGAATTAATTTCAATCTTGTTGAAGTTCTTAAAGAACTAATTAAAAAAAAATCTTATTTAAATAATGAGCAGCTTAAAACAACAGTTATGAAGGAGTGACATCTTCAGGTTATGTCTACATTCGGAATGGGCAAAATCGAAAAGCTAGATCTTGTTAATACTCTTTCAGTTGCCATAAAAGACAAAAGGAAAGATAAAGTTGAGGAGGAGATAGGAAATTTCCCACTCCTATTAACTTTGATGACGATTTTATGGATTCTCAGGAATATACCCCTCTTAAAAGTGACATTACTATTAATGAATAATTGCTAAATGATGATATGGATATAAACCTTCGTAATGACAACGATAATATGTTGTATAATTTGTTTTACAGGAAATGATCAGATAAAGCTAATTTCTCAGATAAAGCCGACTCGAAAGAAGTGACGCACGTCCTGATGTCACTATATGAAAAAGTGGCGCACGCCCTGACGTCACTATAAAAGCTATGAATAATGTACAGTAAAAAGTATACAGTATTTATGACATATACAATGACATCATTATAAATTATTAAGATTGTGAACAGAATAAAATTGTGAATAGCATATGTTAGTTTTGAAACATGAATTTCATGTCCAGCCTCTATTTAAGAAGATACAGACCCGACCTATGGAACATCGCATCTCAGACTGCCCCCTTACACACTGCCCCCGACAACACATCTTTCCCTTCCTACCTACTCCTTCCTCTCCCTTTTCTTGCACCCCTGTAAACCCTCCCTTCTTGTAAAAACATCCATCTTTCACCTTTCACCACTACTACTGTAAATGTGTTTTGTACATAAAATTTGTATTAAATAAAAGCTTTCGCTAATATTTTGCGCTTGTAGATCGATCCTCCCCCTTGTTGGTATCAGAACCATAGACATATGGTATCTTAAATATATTCTATTGATTTATATGCAGATATATCACTAATTCTTATTGCTTATGTAATTGTGATTTAATTCTGTTAGACTACTATTACTGTGAAATTGTGAATTTAATCGTATTATAATAAGGCTTATTTGGGCTTTTATTGTTTGTTCAGACCTCGTTATGATGATGTTTCTTTGGGTTTCCTATGGTTTTGCATTCAATATCGCGTATTGGGGATGGTGTTAGGCCGTTTTCCGTGAGAAATGAGTGTTAGGTCGTCTGTGTAGTCCCTTTGAGCGTCGACAAAGTACTATAGAAGAATTAAAAGACGAATTACAGTAACAACTAGAAGAAAGTAATATAGAAACATATAAGTCAACAGAACACCCTTTGAGATACCACTGTGGCTTTAAACCTATTTAAATTTAAATTTAATCATGAAGATGATTATGTTAAAAATATGAAAGAAATCGAATTCTCTAATATTGAAAATAAATTATAGAATTGGGATATACTCTAGTACCCCACCAAGAAAATCTATAATATTGGCACTTTTGATTTTAAATCGAGTTTAACTATCAAAACGATTGAAATAACTATTCCTTTTGATCAGAATGGAG